GAAAATGTTTTCAAATCCTTTAATACAAGCTATACTGATGTTTATTTGACTGGAATTGCCAACTTTAATCTCAAGCTCTGAAAAAAAGCAATTTACCCGTGACATATCGCTGAAACAGAAAAGAATGGATGACTGTCATATAATTTTTTGGGATGGTGCCAAATCTTAAAAACAAAATGAAAATTAATAGTGTATTATCTAAATTGTTCTTTTTAGATTTAACTAATCTTTTTATTTCTTAGAAAGAAAGATACTTTTTTGTTGATAATTGTTTTGCTCATCTTGAGATTTCCTTTTCAAATGTTGTCATTAAATATTTACCAGCTAAAGCAACGTCATGCTTGACTTCCTTAGACTTTTGACTTCTGGGAGTGTAGTTTTGGCATGAGAAAAAATCAGAGTGTAGATATGGGGGTCATTGAAGCGGATCCTAACATAAACAACTTTTTGGTGTTTAGAGAAATATATAACTATGAATAACAATTACACGTGCCGTTAAATTTTGATTATTTTGAAGATCAAGGTGCTGTAGGAAAAGAGAAAGAAGAGGCACCTAACTAAGAAATCATAACTGCAAAGATGACATTGCATTATATCAAAAAACTTACACATTATTTAATTCATAAGTGCAATAGATTATTGTTATAACTTTCTGAATCCATTGAAAGTCTTTTAGAATAAAATTTTAAAAAAATTGAAAAATTGCTAAACAGACAACCATAGATGATTTTTTTCTGATGAAATATAAAAAAGTGTTATTTTATAAAACTTGTAATAGCAATATTCAACTTATCACAATTGAAATTTAATGTTGAGTCTTCACAAAAGGACAGCTCAAAGGAGAGGATAGTTTGGTCATTCCCCGACGGTGTCTTCTCTTGATGACTTCTGCTCTAATAATTTTTATAGCATCATCGAGCTTTTGATCACCGAGATAGTTCAGTCGCTAGAAGTGCCATGTATACCTCTGCTGTTACGAGATGGCATGGTTCAAAAACTTTCTGTGGTATGGTGTGGTGTGGAGAGTATAGCCTTTGTGACACGAAAGTTTAATTACAAGTATAAAATAACAGGTAAAAAGCTCTGCATTTGACTGAGCTTCATTGCAAAGTATAAAAAAACCAAAAAAAGCATTAATTATTTATTCGGCAAAATTCTTTTGCAGTCGTTATTTCGTTTGTTAATCAATTAATTAACAAACAGAATAACAGCTGTAATAGACCAGTGAGAAAGAATAGATTTATGGTAGATTGAAAAAAAATTAACGAAATTCATTTCAATGAAGAACTATAAAAAAGAAATCAAAAATGCAATTTAATCCTAAAATTAAATTGATGAAACAAAATGTTGAAAACAATTTTTCAAGTTGCATACTTGAGACTCCCACAATGTTCACATTGCAAGCCAAATGCCTTCGAAACTGTGCATCAACAAATAGCTTAAAATGAAAATAATTAAATCAACTCAATAAAAATTAAATGCTCATATCGTAAGCAATCGTGTCAAAAACTGTTCATTAACAAATAGCTAAAAAATAACTTGATAACCACCATTTTATCTTCGCTTTCATTTTCTTCAAGTTTCAAGAATAAGCTATTGTTTTCAACATTTTCATGAGCACTTAAAAAAAATGGAAAAACTTATTTTCCAATAACAATTAAATAGAAACTAATTCAATTGTATGAGTTGAAGTAAAAATGTATCATATACTTATTAAGCCCTTTCATACAGATTGTACAATTATAACTATTATTTATTATTATTATCTGAACATTTATATAGCACCGGTTATAAAACCAAGATTTTCTCACAGGCGCCATCCCAAAATAAAAGCTCATTAAAAAAAGTATAGAGAAACCAAGCATAATAAATCAAAAGTTCAAGATTCTAATATTATATAAATGTAGTTAGTTATTTAAAACGATTGCTGGCTTAACACTGCGTCGATTGTTGATGTTGTTGAATGACCTGTCCATAATTCTCACATGCTCGGGCCACGATCTTTCATCCGTGACGAGACTTGAATATTTAGCATCAACGCATAATCGAAAGGATGTAGACAGCTGCAGATCATCCGGTCTGACATCATCATCTTTTTTCTTGCAGGCAGAAAAACATGAGATAGCCTCAACTTGAATTAATATAAGATGATCATGTACATAGCCGCTAAACATTTAATCATGTATGTAATGTTGATGTAAAAAATTCTTTTTCGAACAAAAAATTTACTAGCCGATATCTTGGAGTCAATAAATGATCTCGAACCCACAATGATTATAATGTTTAATTGCAGACGATAAAACACGTTTTGAACGATTTTTTTTTCAACTAGTGTAAAATTGTCATTAACACTGTATTCATCATTGTTTTCAATAATTTTTTTTAGATTCGAAGTTTTCTGTTCAAGCGCTTCAACGTAAACACGTCCCCGGTGAAGCTAACTTCATTAATATTAATTTTAGCTGTCAGACCTGCTGGTTTTTGTATAACAACTGACAAATCACCTTGAACTGATTAACAAGTTGCTTAACATTTATTTTTATTTCGTTCAATATGCTGCAATTTTTGTTTAGCAAATCCACAATTGGTTTCAAATCAGCGAATGGTTCCAAATCCTCAGAAACAGGCGCAGCCACTCGCAATTGCTCATATTTCACTCAACTGTCAAAAACGTTAGTCACAAATGCGGGAAATTTATTGCTAAAACTATTGTCACCAATGAACTTCAAAGCGTCAATTAATTCATTAAATCCCTGTTTTTTATTAGTGTTAGACGAGAAGTTTGGCAGACTAATTTGAACGGTTTCAGCTTCAAGGGGCAAATTTTTTTGGCAGCAACCATATCCTGAAGCCGAAAACATTCCACAGCAATATTCAACAAATTAACATCGTCAAAAAGTCATTTAAACCAAAAATAACAAAAATTCATAACAAATAAATTTTTCCGACATTTTGCATGTACATCCATACATTCAATATATATGCATCATACATATATATTAATGTGTGTGTGTGTGTGTATGTGGCGTGTGTATATACAAAACACAATACTTCCTTATATCGACAACATGGACAGAATTCCATAATTAAGCGAAAGCCTACACAAATTTTCGTTTAACAATATATAAATGAAATACGCAAAAGCTAATGAAAATATTCTTGTTATAGTGAAATAAGTGAAATTTTGAAAGCAGAGTTGGCCATCGTAATGATGAAAACCTGGAGAATCTTATACTGCATCAATCTTTCGTCAATGTAGGCCACTTAAACTCTTACCATCAACCATCAAGTTTTATACTTTACAGATCTAGAACTAACTTGACTTATCAATGCCTAATGTTTTTTAATACTTACCACAACACAAACTTGTAGGATAGCGATCACAAAATTTCGGTGCACTAAAGATGAAAATTTTGAAATTTCGTAGTGCTAGATGGGAAATTTCATTTCTAAGGTGGCATTAAGTTTTAAAGTCAAATAAGTTTCTGTGATTTATTTTTGCTAATAAATATGTACTTTTTTAAATAGTTGCAGCTCATGAAGAATTTGTCAAAAACGGCCCGCTGGTAAAATGAGCTTGAAAACTCTGACATGAACCATAAATATAATAAAAATAATAAGTAAAATAATGTGTGAACAAGTAAACTTGATTTGTCATGAAGATTGAAAAAAACAACCAAGAATCTTCTCTTTGGACACAATTTAAACTTTTATTAGGAAATTTTTCAACGTGTTTGTCATTCCAAATGTTACCTTGAAAATAAAATGATTAAACAACATTCATCAATTATTTATCGAAACAATAAGACAATATTTTTTATCATTTACTGTACAGAGTTAACGTTGGTCTGCATAGAAAAAGCGTGATTAAATTGTGGTAACGTCTCATGACTGAAAAAATAGGAATGAAACAAAATAGAGAATTGAATACTTCGTGCAACTTACTCGTAGATGTTCAATCATATTGCAATTGTGAGGTTTGATGAAAGTTTATTCTTATTTTATATATTACAAACTGATATATTTAGTAAACTGAAATTCTATTATCTGAAACTCCAAAAATATACAAGAACAATTTTCACCAGTTGGTGCAAATCGAATTTTACATTAAAAACATCAAAAACGCGTCAGTTTGCTGTCGGATGTTATCCTGAGGTTCTAGGTTCACAGTTTCATCAAAAAGAAGCTCAAAACGATTCCGAACCTCCGCATTAAACTCGTTTTTGAGATTTAAGTTTTTAAGTTTTTCAGTATTGAAAGTACTTTGTTGTTTGGAAGAGTCTTCGATTTTTTCAAGAAAAACCTAAACTGCGGATACAATTTTACGATCTGATACGACATAACATGTGTTATATGCACGGCAGTTTTTGACGAAAAGTCCACCATTTTGTATTGAACAAAATATGGTCTAACGGAGAAAACTCGCCTTTTAGACTTTTGTATGTTCGTAGCATGGACGGTTTGTTTGGAAACCAAAAGCTCGCGGGGCGAAGGCTCGTCATTTCACACAAGTTGATCATATATATATATATATATATATATATATATATATATATATATATATATAATTGTTATAATAATACATGTACACTAGACCGTTTTATTTTTATTAAGAAAAAAAATTTTTTTTTAAACCAGATTTGCATATGGGTTTATTTTGTGTCATTTGATGATATAAAGACAAACACCAAAAATAAATAAAATCAAACAATGTTAAGTGACCTCTCATTGATGAGATTGTTCAGAAAATTCAGTTTTTTAAAGCATTTTTTTTTTAAATTAATAAAAAATAATTGTTTTTAATTTATTATGAATATTTATATATTGTTTTATTATAATGTAATGTATGAATCAGTATAGTTCTTTTTCTAAGGTTCATTCATTAATTTCCTGTTATGCTCAATCACCTGATACATCAACTGGCGCTGATTTTCATCATGAGTAAGTGCTGTATTAAAATCAGATGCCAATTTAACTGCTCGCTCAGCACAATCATTAACTACCCGTACTGCAGTCACTATCTCTTTTGCATTATTGTAATCCTCTAGTTGTGGCCATACTTCTGGATCAAAGCAAAGAAAATTTTGACTGAGTTTCAATGTAGAAAATAAATTTAAAGACTGTTTTGTCACAAAATCTGACAAAATCTTGGATTTGAAAGAACTTATGTGTTTTGGATCTACTTTTCTAACATCATTTTTTTGTTGGTTTATATAATGCTTTAACCATAAGCCTTTTCTCATCGACATTAACCAAATCAGAAACAAATGTCATTCCAACAAGATCTTCGCTTAGATACCAAAGATTCATTTTAATTTTTTTCATTGCTTTTTTTCCAACTTTGCAATCAACTTTTTCAAATAATTCCTGAGTTTGAAGAAGACATAAATCATTGTAAGGAGCACTACAGCTGTTTGCTGCACAAAACCATGCCTTTACATATACAGTTACAGTAAAGAGACAAAGTCTCTTTAATGCTTGTAGCTCATGCGCAGTTAACTTCAGTTGCTCATGAAAGCAAAAAATCTTCAAACAATAAATTCCTTTGGCTATCCAGCGAGCCCTGTGATAAGCTCCTGGAGGAGTGACTTGTACAGCAGTAGGATCTGAAACTCCAAGAGTTATGAGAGAAAGCCTAATCAATTGCAAGTAACCATGTCGAGGTTGAGTATTTTGCAGTTGGTCTTGAAGAAAATCAATCATAGCTACACGATTTTGCTTTAGCTACAAATTTTCATCATTAGTCAAAGAGCAACCAGTTGTTACCTTGTCAATCGATGCATATTTTAACTGATTAATTGATGGCCATTGATCTTTAAATCTACTAAAATTAGCAATTTGAGGGCCAGATGAAGTGAAAAATAAATCAAATAAAGCTGTTCCAATAATTTTAAGAATATGATGCCTGCATGCTAAAAACAAGAGATGTTTATTAAAGGATTTCTTAATTATTGTTATAGCACCAGTATGAATGCCAGTATTAGAACTTGTTGTGTCAAAACACAAACAAGCCAACCAATTTGACACGCCTTCCCAATTCTGAAGTAACTGAACTATTGTGGTTTCTATGTTTATGCCAGTACCGCCAACCTTTGGTATAGCTATCAGTTTTTCTACATTTTTCTCTGATACCACAATTGGCAGGCGATCTATGTTTACACCATCAAAATCAGGTAAAAGTTTTCCATCAAAGTGAGCCACAAGAGGTGTGTTAGGCAAAAATGTGTTTTTGAGAGTTTTTTCGATAGATTGTCGTATAGCTTTTCTAGATCCGTAAAGAGAGCTTGCTGACAAAGTGAGTTCATCAACGTTGATTCCAACTGCCTTTAATGCTAAAGCAACTATGTGTTCTATAAGTTGTTCCCTATAAGTTGTTTTTGTACAATCTAGACTAGCCATGAACAGTGGGTCATCTACTTGACACCTTTTTTTAAGTTCATTAGTTTTAGGAGATATCGGAGTACTTCCTGCAATTTGATTCTGATGGTATTTGCTGACACCCTACTTCCTCATCAGACTTATCGCTTATGTCATCTGTTGATGTTGAATTATCATCATCATCTTCATAATTGGCTATATTTCTCTTTTTATTAGGTTTTTCTTGTTTTTGATTCTTGCTTAGTTTCCTTTTTAATCTTTTCTCTTCTTGTTTGGCAAATTCTTTGTCTTCTCCAAACAATAAACTTCTATAATGTTTTATAAAAACATGTAAAAATATTTTAAAAACCCCAACCACCAAAAAAAATCATTCAGGCTTCTCAGGCTTCATTAAAAATAACAAAATATGATTTGAGAGGTCACTAATACTTATCCTTTTTAATTGAAATTTTTACAGGATGATACAAATATAAAACCACACCATATAAGCCCCTATGCATTGTTTATTTAAAAAAATTTTTTTGAAACAGTCTAATGTACGCAGTAAATGTAAATTTGATTTGATTTGATGTACACAGACACATACATAATATTATTATTATCAAAAATTTATCTAGCACTTCTTAATAAAATTCAAAAGCGTCCTCAAACATTAGATCACCATAACAATAAGCATGGGCTACATAAGAATAAAAATCTGTCCATAGCCAATAAGGGAAAAATAAAATAAATAAAATAATAAAAGGAAAAAAAGAATCAAACATCATAACATAAATCATTACATCATTAAATCGGAGCCTAAAAATTGAAAAACTGACAAGAATATTAATTTAAACTAAACAAGATAAAAAAAATCAACCAAATAATATAAATAACTGACAAGAATATTAATTTAAACTAAACAAGATAAAAAAAATCAACCAAATAATATAAATAACAAAAAAAGAAAAAAATTCCCTAAATAAACTATTTTATTACAATGTGAACAAAAACGTTTTCAAGTTCTTTTTAAAGCAATACATAGTCAGCTTTGGATCCCTGAGTGAAGACGGCAATCTATTCCAGACAGTTGGTCCAGCAACCGCAAAGCTACGTGCACCGGCACACAGATTTGTAACCGGAACTGTTAATATATTCAAATCGAACGACCTTAGGTGCGCACCTGTCTGACGAGGTAAATTCCTCTTAATTTTGTCCTGCAGATACATTGGAGCATTATTATTAAGCGTTTTATACATCAAAACTGCAATCTTGTACATTATTCTTTTATCGACTGTCAGCCAAGCAACCCTTTTAGCGTAGGCGTCACATGATCATTCCACAGATTTCACGATTTTGTATTGACTGCAGGCAAACTATAAAGTAAACTACTGCAGAAGTCAATTCTCGAGTGGACAAAGGCATGCACCAGAGTCTGATGTGTTGAAACGTTTAACGATCCACGAATTTGATTAATTCTTCTGATCTGATATATGCAAACCCTTGACAACATCCTGATATGGTACTTAAATGTTAGATTTGAATCAAACACAACACCCAAGTTAGTTGAATTGTTACAAAACAAAATTCTTTCACAGTTCACACTGTTCATTGGAATTTAATTCCTGCCAATTGCTGCCATGTTCTCACCAGTAGAAGTTTAGTTTTATTTTGATTCAGTTTTTAACTATTCTGCGACATCGATAAATCAACAGCCGTCAAACATTCTAAAAATTTATCCATCTCTATTTGAAACGAATCAGTTGTAGTTTTAACTATTATCTGAATATCATCGGCAAAGGCGTGACATGAGAACACATAAATGATTCGATAACATTACATATCTCTGACGTGTATAAAAAAAGATAGTGGGCTAAGAACAGATCCTTGAGGCACCTCGAAGATATCAGACTTTATAACTCCAATCAATACCTGACTTTATACCTTTAATCAGTACCTGTTGTGTTGCTCTACTATCCAAATAAGATTTAAACCATTCCAAAACCAAACTACCAATACCAAAACTAAGATACAATCTATATATTAGAATCCTGTGGTCAACACAGTCAAACGCCGAACACATATCAAGGAAAGCCAGGAGTGATATAATTATTATTAACATTAACACCACTCATTACAAAATTATTATTACAAACAGTAAAAACTCGCCTTAAACTCATTTCTACAAGTTTAAAAACAACTGGCCCTAAAATTTGGAAATTATTTGTGCCCCATGCCATTCATAACATAACAAGCAACTCTTTAAAAAAAGGTTCCGATCTTAGCTTTACTTACTTCATCCCGACACCACCATCTAACGATTTATATACATTAATATATAGCTGTTGTTTAAATATGAATGGGTGTGTGTTGTGTGTGTATGTGTGGTGCGTGTGTGTTTTTGTCTGTCTGCTATTATTATGATTATTTGACTACTTCATAGGTATTATCTGAATGTATTTCATTCTAGTTAACATTTTTATAAAATTTTGATATAGTATTTGAATGCATCTGAACGCTGAAATGGATTGTCTTAATTTCTAACTTTTATGTTTATTTATGACTTAGTTAAGGGTGGCCTCTCCACAAGTTTATTTTAAACTTATTTGGTCCTCTATAATGAAAAATAAATAAATAAATAAAAAATGCTCAACAGTTAGTATTAGTATCTGGGGTCTCGCATAGAAGGGCACTTAGCAATATTCTCTAAAATACAAAATGAATTATACTTTTGCAACAATAACAATATGCTTTGTTTCACATAAATTTTATCATTTGGATCACAGGATTTATTAACTATTTTAGTACCTATGTTATCAAGAAATAATTGCGTTTGTTTATCAACTGGGCCGAATGTCTCCACACCAATCGGGGCCAAAACTCTCGTATTGTCGTTAAGATCTTTTTACTCAGCGTTGTTAAAATTGGCAGTTTTCATAGAAGCGGAACCTGGCTTCAAAACCGTGTAATTGATGTACCTTTCGGCCAACGTGTGAGGGAACATCACATTCCAGGATTTTCAAATAGTACGCATGCTGGTTCTTTAATGACATGTATATCTGCTTTCTGGAACAATCAACGTATGTAATCATTCATGCCAGAATGCCGTGAACGTCGTGTCGGTTTGGCTCAGCAAGACATGTAAGGCATTCTGCTTTCTTGTCTTCCTGAACATGCAGAGCATTCTGGTTGCTTATCTTCTTAAACTCAACCTTCACGATAAGCCAAGGTGGCCCAACAGAGAAACATCAGCCTCACACAAGCATCTACAACCTGACACCACAGGGAACCCAAGTCTCAAGCCTAAACATACTCTAATGGAAGAGCATTGTCAAGCCTAGTACCACAGGCCGTACTGGAAATAGCCCTTAGCCAAGCAGAACCCAATTCACTTCTAACAGCCATCAGCGTTGCTTTACCTGAAAATGAGTCATTTAATTCCTCAAGTTTCGTTTTTGATATATTCAAAAATGGTTCATTCCATTTCTTTTGCGAATAAACGTTTATGTCCATTATATCACCGTAAACCGTGCACAAGCTCTAAAATGTTTCATGTCTTAAGTCATTCTGGAATACTACGTTCATTGACAAGATCTTTTCCTGGAGGGCTGCCGTGGCCGCAGCCGATGACAAAAATGCTGAAACCCAAACCTAGACCACCCATATTGACAGGCAGAATAGCCTGATTCCATACTTTATAGTCAAAAGACACATTGAATATGGTCTGAAATCATGTGCGCAGTTCACTGTCAAATTCATTTGACATTTGTTGAGACGGGCTCAGAGAGGTACGCAAAAAGTAGGACAGCCTAGGGAT